TCCACGTTGTTAGTACATTATGTGAAAGGGTTCCACGGAAAAATTAATTGGGAACCCCTGGACTATTGGGACCATATCATTTATTATCATTATTATAATTAATATTATTTATAAAGTGCCAACAAATTCCGCAGCGCTGTACATAAGGTAGACTAATATACAAGTATTTCCAACAAGACTTGGACGCACAGGAACAGAGAGGGTGTTGAGGATCCTGCTGAAGCCAGCTTACATTCTAGAGGGAGTGAGGTCAAGTGACAAAACAGGTGATGGTCGGATATATTTCATGTAGGGAGAAAAATAGGTTACTAGAATAATTTACAATGAAGGCTTAATACCTCCCATATTCACCTAACTGCCATGCTGCAGGTGGGGGCATATATGATACATCGTTAACAAAACTAGCATGTTGCCTACATTTTTTTTACTTTTTTTTGCGATTTGTGATTTATTTTTTTAACAGATGTGTCATTTTTTTTTATTATTGTATTTATTTTGTACTTTATTATGTATTTTTTTATGATATATTAGGTTATATCCCCTACACATTGCCAGCAGGTAAACTGTCCAACTCCCATTCAGACAATTTTGCCTATGCATCCCTTCTCCTGCCACTGGTCCCATCACAGTGGGGATGGGACCCTGTTAGAGACTGGACAGTTATATCCTAGTTGCAACTTTTTCATATTTATTGAAAAACATTTTTACATGTTAAAAACATAGTACATGCCGATTCTGCCACACCATGAATACAAGGTACGAAATAACAAACATAAGCCTTTCTAACTTAACGTGTGAATCCAGTAGACCTCTAACCTGCTCTTGTTGGTGTTGAGCTGACAGTCATTGTAAGTCCCAGCAATATTGGGCTTGGTACAACGATCTGTGATTATGGTTTTTGGTTCTCGCTTGGCGTAATCCAGCTTTGCCACTCCTTGGTAAACTGTGGTTCTTTACCCTTTACCTTTTAGCCATTTCTTCATATTGGCTAGTCCTGTCTATTCTGTCTAGGACCTCCTGCAAGGTGGGGACAAGAATGGTTTTACATTTCACTGCCAGGGCAATTTTGTCAGCTAATAGGACATGTACAGTGAGGACCCTGTGCTCCATATTTTGTGAGTTGGGGATTATATGCAGTAAAAAGCATTCTGGGTGAGGGGGTATCTTCAGCCTCCAAAATGGCTGCACAGTGGGGCAGTCCCAAAAGATGTGAGATAGTGTACCTCTGTGTTCATTGCACCTCCAACATGTGTCAGAGACCATCGATAGTCGCAACTTTTAATTGTAACCCTGGCTGCTCATTATTTAATAGAAATGCAAACGCCATAGGTGGAGGCATATCTACTAAACAATGTGTTACTATCAACCCTTTCTGACCAAACCTCCCTATAGTTAGATGGAGTTCATAATAACTCCCAGAGTCTGTATTGATTGATTGATTGATTTGTTTATGTATATAAACTTTTAATGTGACAGGTGGCTTGCAATCCTGGCCAGCATGGTTAGTCCTTGCATCGCAGAGGGTTTTCTAATTGCCCGCTGGCTGCTAGCGGTACCAACAGTCCAGATAATTATTGTTTGCTTGCAAAAAAACATATGAACAATAAGTTTCAAACGTGTATTCTTCTGACACAGATTTAACCAGTTTTTTTTTTTTTATGTAATAGTTTTTATTGGTTTTTCTGATTTAACCAGTTTTTAACCAGACACCAAATGCATCTGGCTGAATGGTGCAGAATCAGTCAGTAATACCGAATTCTGACCAGATTTCACTTTAGTAAATGTGAGAATTGAACTTTTTACCATATTTTGCCCTTCTGTACAAAATGTGCTGTTTAGTGAACAAACCTGTTAGGCTATAAAATAAGAATGGTAGTTTATTTGGGTGAGTTTATATTATCAATAATATAAACCCACCCGGTATAACTAATGTTAACCTAACCTACACAGTGTCTAATGTGTTGAAGCCTGGAGTGTCCTTTTAATAATATAAACCCACCCATTATAACTAACTACATTTACACTTCACCCCCCAAACACACACTGCACCCCCTCACACACATTGCCCTCCCCCACACATAAAATGCCTCCATGCACACAATCCCCACACACACATAAACACTGTGCAACCACCCACATGCACACTGCCCCCACACACAATGCCCCTCACCCCTACACACACACACTGCCCCTTCACACCCACACTGCGCCCACATAAACACTGTAGGCCTCACACATAGTGCCCCTCATACACACACACACTGTCTCCACTCATACTACACCCCCCACACACACTGACCCCCATACACACGCTGTTCCCCCATACATATGCACTGCCCCCTCACACACATACATTGCACCCCTTACACATACTGTGCCCCTCGCACACACACTGCACCCCTCAAACACACACACTTAACCCCTAACACACACTGCACCCCTCAAACACACACACTTAGTCCTTCACACACTGCACCCCACACACAGACACTGCACCCCTCACACACACTCTGCACCCCTCACACAGACACTGCACCCCACACACAGACACTGCACCCCTCACACACAGAAACTGCACCCCTCACACACTGCACCCCTCACACATTCATTACTGTAGTAGTGTGTGTGAATGTGTAGGGATTTATTAAGTGTGTGTGGGTAGCCTAAATTATATACTTTATGTCTTTAGCTTCCCTTATTGCACAGTGTGTTTAATTTGTGAATTCTTATCTCTTGCTCCCTTAATTGTCTGCTAGAGCCCATATCTTCCTCCTGTGTGTGCTTAGAGGGCTAGACTAGGGCTGCATAAACACAGCGATTAAACTAGTAAATTGTGGTGAAAAGCGCAATGAACCTGCAGGGGCATTAAGCTAACATTGTTTTGGTGCTTAGAGATCCCCTTTATTATTCTGATCTCTAACTATTCTGGCATTCCTGGCACAGCTCTTGCAGGGTATACAAATACAGAAAAATAAGTCCTGCGCTCAAACTCTCACTACTCTTGGGCGGCAACAATGACCACAGCACACATCAGCCCCAGTACATGCAATAAAAAAACAAAGGAAAAAAGTTACCTGCGCACTAGCCCAAATCCCTATGTATATTTAAATAAACGGAGGTTATTTAGTAACTCCAATGGCCATTAGATGTAAGAAGCCCACCTACCACGTCAAGGCAAACCTCTTAGGTGGGTATACACTAACAATTCACCTTGCTTGTTCATCTTCAGGCAAAGAAATCGCTAATGAGGCAGATAGGGGTCTTTTTCTAAACCCCTACATACTTATTAACCCTTAATAGGGCGGCAGCATTGTAATATAGCTGTGTGATACAAAAGTGAATACAAATATACAAAAATAAGTCCTGCACTCAAACTCCCACTACTCTTGGGTGGCAGCAAGGAAAATAGTACACATCAGCCCCAATACATACAGTAAAAACCAAAGAAGAAAAAAAAAAGTTACCTGCACACTTCCAAAATCCCTATACATATTTAAATAAACTGAGGTTATTTAGTAACTCCAATGGACGTTAGATGCATGCCCACCTGCCACAGTTTTTCGTACTGGATATACACTAGATAAGGATATGTCAAGTTAGAAGCAAGAATGTAAAAATAAAAGTAATAAGATAAATTATGTTAAAAACTAAATTCTTGTTTTGCTTTCTTCTCCTTTCAGCTTGTCATATATGATGAAGAACGAGCAGAATAAGGAACAAGCAACATAATTTATTGAAAGGATGGGCATCTGACCTTGACTGACCTTGAATGACCTTGAATGGAATGAAATGGAATTTAAATATATTTGATTAAGTCACAATCAAATGATATGAACTAAATGAGGTTGTGACCTAATTTGTTGCCTCAAATGAATTGGTGTGATTTTAATTGAAGTTTTGCAAAATACAATGTCCGTATTGCTTTGCCAATCCAGAGAAGCCCACCACTGCCTTTCATTCTATGACCCCCACTCTCTATATTTTATTTCCTATTTCCACAATCCTCCGTTTCTCTATGCATGTTGTCATTTCAGTTCTGTCTAACGGCCCTAACTAACCTGTTACCAGTTCTTCTTCTTCCACAGATCTCTGACATAAGTGAGGAACCGTGCTGTGTATGTAAGTGAGCACAGCTCCTGTGAGTGGAAAAGACTGACAGTGTAAATAGTCTGTGTGTACGCACATGGTACACGTTCTTGGCTGACTTAATAGGGAAGGTAGACTTCCAGTGCGATTTCAGTGGGAAGGGAGTCAAGTCCAGGTGCTGGTGAAGAACAACAAAGGTGGTGTGGAGTTAAAGGGCGAGCTTTCACAGACAGCTTCCTATTAAACTAAGTTGTACTAGTTATGTTATACAAAATTAAGCCCTGCGCTCAAATTCCCATTACTCCTGGGTGGCAGCAATGACTATAGAACACATCAGCCCCAACATATACAATAAACACAGAAGACAAATGTTACTTGCGCACTATCCCAAATCGCTATGCACATGTAAATAACTGGAGGTTTTTTAGTATCACTTCAATGGCAATTAAAGTGTAAGCTCACCTACCGACACATCAAGGCAATACCTCTTAGGTGAGTCGTACACTCCAGTCATTTAAATGTGCATACGAATTTGGAATAGTATGCAGGTAACTTTTGTCTTAGGCTTTTATTGCACTGGTTATGGTACTTGAACTGTCCCTTTAAACTTTATTGCTTCTTTAAACCTTTCATAAATTTAAGTACATACAGCAGTCAGCCTGTGAATAATGTAGATAATAAATATTAGGTTATTTGACCGGGAACGGCATCATAATTGTAATTTTCTCTTAATAATATTCTCACATGTATGAATATGAATATATTGAATAATGTTTTTTTTTTTTGCTTTTATTATTATACCCAAAAGAATCAAGCACATAGAATTCCAAATAAATAAACTCTGTTTTACATTCATTTCATGATTTTCAAACCTCCCAGACAATGATTTTTTTCTGCTGACGCCCACGAATAACATTTCACGTCAACATATAGCATCCAGATCCAGAAACATTGCTTGAGATAGTTTAGTAGGTTTTAATTTATTATTCTGTGTTTTTGTTTCAGTGGTTTTCTGGTCATTGTCATGCATTTTCAGGTAATTAAACAAAACATTAGAGAACGCCAGATTCGGGTTCTGCTCTCTGAGTGGATAATTACCTTGGAATCCTGATGAGATCTCTCCCACGCAGCCCTGTGTCACTTAACACTCTTTGTTGCAAGTACCATACACATGGCATACCTACTTCCTCAATAATTGAATTTGTCAGGCATTAAGAAAAAGTGGCAATGTACTGCACATTAAATCCATTAAGTTTGCTGTGTGCACGTGATTGGGAATATTAACTCCTTGCTTAACTGTGCATATTCCTGGAAGTGACAGAGAAATAAACACAAAATCTATACGGTGTGATCAATAAACTGTTACTGTAAATAGATATGGTTATTAATGTAACAGCGAAAGCGGATCTGTA